TTCTACTCACCTACCTATCGTCAGTGGTCTCTTCTCCACACGGTAGCCAGAATAATCCTTTAAAACTGTAAGTCAGATCACATCACTCTGTTCAAAACCATCCCATGACTACCCATCTGAGTCAGAGAAGAAATCCCCACAGGGCCAACAGCTACCCGCTCAGGAGCTGTGCTGGTGCCTCTAGGCCTGGAAGGCAGCATGGCCGACCCCTCACCACCTCCAGTTTTGATTAACTGTCACCCTTCCTGACCACCCTATTTAAAATAGCAACCACCATCAACCTTCCCCCTTCCACGCCGTCTGATCATTCCCTGCTTATTTGTCTCCCAAGCACTCTGGTCACCATCTGATGCATTACATCGTTTATTCATCTGTTTGTTGTTTATCTCTTCCCATGAGAATATGCACTTTCATAAGGGCAGGGACCTTTGTCTCTTAACTGCTGTCTCAAGCACACAGGACACTGGGGCTGAGTGGATGACAATACAAAGAGCCCTGGAGCACATGGTGGTGATGTTATTATCATGTCACAGCAGCAGCATCCTCACAGAGTCCACAAGGCACATCTACAGCTCTCCTGCCCCTGAAGCCAGCTCTCATACAGGGAGCAAGGGCATTTATGGGGTCACTGTGCCCCAGCTGTCTACTAGATCATGGTGAGCCGATAGAAAGATCAATCAGAAGTGGTAACTGCCCTCTGACAGCTGATGACCTAGAGGGAGGTTTCATGTAGATGTGCAAATAACCCTAGAAGAAGGTGGCCTTTGTTAACATACCCCTTTAATGCCTGGTTTAACCCTTCCCATCCTGGTGGTGTCTCTAGAGTCCAGTACCCCATGGCTTGTGAAGTTACTTTGGGGCTATTTCTGTCCCAGACAAGTTCCCACTCTGGCCTGCTTATCACACCAAAGACACCCGGCCTGACTTCCAATCTAGTCAGCCACGGTCCCTCCTCTGGCCCCCTCCACCCAATACTGCCCTTTCCTTACTGTTAACTGGCAACCTACCCTCTTACAATCCCTCCATACTGTGCTTCTAGAGACTGGGAACATAGGGACAAAGGTGGAATCATTTAGGAAGGTTGCAGCAAGGTGTAAAGGGTCTAAATATTGTTGCCTTACAGTTAAGATCTGTGTATCTCTCTCCTTAAGAGCTCGTGGCCCGAGCTCAGGGGCTGCATCTACCCCTCTGCAGCCTGGCGGCCTTGCTCAGGATACGGCAGAGCAGGCAGGGTCTGCTGAGTCAGTGAACTGGATGATGTGAGCTCTGCACCCTCTGTAAGGTGCCCCACAGGGATTCTACAAGGCTATTTTACTGAGTTATCACAATGTAGCAAACACCCTCATTAGGAAAAATGAAAACATCCCAAATAAATGGATCAACCTTTGAAATGCTAGTTTAAATAAATCATTTTTAAAACCCCACTATGTTATAATTGTCAGAGGTCCTTCATTCAGTATCAGATGTCTTTAAACATGTTGCTGTGAGATGCTGTCTAGTCAGCTCCTACTCCGGCGACCCGAGAACAACAGGACGAAACACTGCCCGGTGCTGTCCATTCCCACAACCACTGTGGCAGCCACTGTGGCAGTCTGTCTGGTTGAGGTCTTCCTCGTTTTTGCTGACTCTGTACTTTACCGAGCATGATGTCCTTCTCCAGGGATTGGTCCCGCCTGATACCATGACCAAAGGTGAGACAAAGTCCAGTCATCCTTGCTTCTAGGAGCATTCTGGCTGCATTTCTTCCAGGGCAGATTGGTTCGTTCTTCTGGCAGCCCATGGTACTTTCAATATTTTTAGCTAACACCATAATTCAGAGACATCAGTTCTTCGTCAGTCTTCCTTATTCATTGTCTGGCTCACATGCACATGAGGCAATTGAAAAATCCTATGGACTGGGTCAGGTGCACCTTAATTTTCAAAGTCACATCTTTGCTTTTGAACACTTTCAAGCATTCTTTTGCAGCAGATTTGCCCAATGCATTATGTCGTGTGGTTTCCTGACTGCTGCTTCCATGGGCATTGATTGTGGCTCCAAGCAAAACAAAATCCTCAACAACTTCAATCTTTTCTGCATTTATTATGATGTTGCCAGTGAGTCCAGTTATAAGGATTCTTCTTTTCTTTAGTATTTGAAAGTTGTAGTACTTGATCTTCATGAGTAAGTGCTTCAAGTCCTCTTCACTTCCAGCAAGCACCGTTACGTCATGTGCACATCACAGGTTGTTAAGGAGTCCTCCTTTAATCCTGAGGTCATGTTTTTCTTCAGATAGTCCAGCTTCTCATATCAATTTACAGACTGAATAAGTATGCTGAAAGGATACAACTCTGCTGCTCATCTTTCCTGATTTTAAACCTTGCAGTCTCCCCTTGTTCTGCTCACACAACTGTCTCCTGGTCTGTCTACAAGTTACGTATGAGAACAGCTAAGTGTTCTGGAATTCTCATTCTTTGCAGTGTTACCCATACTTTGTTATGATCCAAGTCTTTAAACTCCATAGCTGAAAGTCCAAAATTATCAAGAGATGAATTACAAAGAAAGTCTCCCGTTCCCTACAGAATTGCTTTGAATAGGGATTCCCCAAGGTTCCCTGAATTTTAGATAGAAATTAATTTAAGGGCCAGGGAACTGGAAACCTTAAAGCTAAAGCTTTAGGACCTGGTTTTTAAGAATCAGGTTGAATTTCGGTGGTGGACACTTGGGAGTCTGTTACATAACCCTCAGTGCTTTTTGTGTGTTTGAAGAACTTATTTCTCTCACATGTTCACACCACACTACCTGCTCGTACTCAGGCAAGATCAATGATAAAAAATGACCCATCTCATAATTAGTAAGAGGTGCTACCAGCAATAAGTATGAAAATACTTGGTGAATACACCTTCCTCCCCTTAGTTCCCATTTTCTTCATATACAAAATAGGGGGAGGGACTAGATGGCTTGGGCCCCTTCCAGTTCGAATGTCTTATCAAAGTAGAAGGAATGAGAATTATTACTAAGGCCTTCTCTTTATAAATTAAGGGGCGCTGGTCCAAACAAAAGATGGCATATGAGCTGAACATTTACATTAGGCAGATACACTCCTTGGAGAGATCAGTCCTGGGAGAATAGAAGGGCTGTGTGTGCACAGGGAGACAGCTTGGGGGGCAGGAGTGCATGGGAGGGAAGGACACAGGGAAGAGGTAACTATAGGGAGGAAGTGGGAGGGGAGCTGTTGCATTATGGGAGATTATAGTCAATGTCATGAGACAAAGTGTGAACTGCTGTATAGAAAATGAATTTGCTCTGCAAACTTTCACCCAAATCACAATAAAATTTAAAAAACGGGGAGGGGGACTGGTGGTGCAGTGGTTAAAGCATTCAGCTGCTAACCAAAAGGTTTCTCCATGGGAGAAAGATGAGGCAGTCTGCTTTAGCAGATTTACAGTCTTAGAAACCCTATGGAGCTGTTCCACTCTGCCCTGCAGGGTCGCATGAGTTGGGATTGACTCAATGGCAGTGGGTTTTGGGGTCTACTTATAAAGGATTCCCTTCAGATTTTCTGACTTTCCTGACTGCATTTAACGTATGATTTGGTTTACCAAAATCTGCTTTCCAAATAACTTTTCAGAACAGATGGGATATAAAGAACAGTTCCTATACTTTTATTATTAATAAAAGCAACTGACATTTATTAACTGAGTACAATATGCCAGGCACCATGTAGTCAACATCCCAGGCACCTGTACCGGCCTGGTAGGGTGATCTGAATTAATCATCACCGGAACTAGATAGCAGTATTGTCCCTGAAGCTGTCTACTTTGCCCAAGGCTGCAGAGTTAGGGAATGGCACGTGGAATTCAAACCATCTTCAATTCAGCCTCTGACTCCAGGGCATGTTGTTAACCCTGCGTCTCCCCGACTGGCTGCCTGCATCAGGAGGGCCCCTGTGTTTCTCTGTTGGTGGAATCGAGGCCTCCTGTGCTCTCATGCCTTCACAAACGGGGTGACCCATCTGAAGATGGGGTGGTTCCTTAGACTTAAATTCATGACACAACATGGAGATGCTTTCATTTAGAAATGCTTTGGACTTCTGTTTGGGGGGCACTGAGTTTCTGTTAATGGTGGTGGCATATTCTTGAAAAGGACAGCAGTAATGGTGGCACAACATGAAAAATGTCATCAGTGTCCCCAAGCTGTAAATGGGGAAGGTGTTATGTTGGTGAATGTCTTGTGTATGTTTTCACCACAATGAAAATGAAAAAAAGAAAAGAGAAGAAATGCATACCTTCCCCTAGATATCTCTACTTATCCGTAGGTCTCTCTTGAGTATACTGGGTGAGCAGAAAAGGATTCACATTTGCTTTGAATTCCCAGTTTGGGTCTTCTCTCTACGTTTCATTTTTTAAGACTAACAGCATAGACAGCAAGACAACAGTATTTTGCAACAGACTGAGGTGAAAAAATGCTACATGCAGAGACTCAATATCTGAGAATTTGACATCTGTTTAGCACACTTCAAAACTGTCACATCCACCACTTTCACTTCCACAAGAACTGTGTGAAATAGGCAAGGCAGGGGTGATTCACCCACTTTGCAAAGGAGTAAGCACAGAAAGGGGGATGCCTTTGCCCTGGGCCACAAGCTGGTGAGCCTGTAGGCAGGGTCACTGGGTCCCCACACTTCAAGGCAGACAGAACCAAATGACTGCTGCCCCAAGGATGGTGCCCCACCAGGCCGCGCGGCCGGAGTGGCTGCCTTTTCAAACCTAAGTCCGCCTGCGCTCAGAAGATGAGGACCCAGCTCCAGCCATCCCTCTCCTCACACCTGTACAGGCTGATAAAGAAAGTAGAATTAGCCTGCAGCTGTGGGCCAGCCAGATAAAACATTTAGGCGGGAAGTCAAGTGACAAATGAACTTGTATGTGTGTGTTTTTATGTGTTGGTTACTTCTGATATTTTGAACACGCTCCTAGGCTGCTCGTGGAAGTCATTCGAACTAGCAGGAAGGAGCTGCAACAAGATGGATTTAGGAAAGGACCACTCTCATGTGACGCTCCATCAGACACCTGACCTTCATCAAGACAACCACACTCCAGGTAACGCAAGAGACCTTCCGAGCTGGTGGCTGTTGGGAAGAACTGGGGTTACAATTGTTTGCCTATATTCTATAGATCTGGCAAAAAAAAAAAAAAAAAAAGGCATAATTGAGTGTGTTCATAGCGTTTGGGAAGAACTTGAGGTAGGTAACTTCCTCAGGGCCTTCGAGCACTAGGTGTCTAAAGAGCCAGAGAAGCACAGGTAGTAATAAATTATTTATAAGAAATGCGCTGATGCAAAAGACAATGGGCGTACCCCAAGTGGAGGGTTGTGGTAAAACAAATGGCCCCATGCGGGCCTGTGGGAGCAGAAGTTTGATGTGCCTTTTGGAAGAGACGAGGTGACGAGTAGCAAGAACTGTCACAGTGCTGTTCCTTTAACTCACACACCCTGCTCCTTGGATGTAGACTAAAGCAGCATTTCTCAAAATGTTTTACAGAATCCTAGGTCTTGAGATATGCTAAGAGAGGAATTTCCAAGCTTTCGTGTGCTGTGCTGATGAAGCCCACAGACCTCTGTGCAGAATAAAAATAGAAATACACAAAATTAAATACATAGGAGTGCCTGCTTGGGCAGCACATACTCTAAAAGCGGAATGATACAAGGGAGATTAGCATGGCCTCTGAGCAAGGAGAAAATGAGGATCTGTGACATGGTCCATATTCTTCCTGATGAGAATGTAACTTTGAAATAATATTTCTTAGTAAGTGGTTCAAAGTATAATGCATAAACCTAAAATGTCATGCAAAAAGCTAAAATCAAAGTACCGTTTTCCTTTAGTTATATCTCTGGCCTGCTGTACAGAACTCTTAGAACATTAAAGAGGACACATTTTTTGGGGGGGAGGGGGAAATTAAATACATAGGATTACAAAGGAAACTGAGTATATTAGGATACAGTTAGAAAAATAAGAAACCTGTGATGTAGTAATGCATGTGTTTGCAGAGGCATTAAACAGGAGCCAGGGCTGGGCCCAGTAACCCTGGCAGTGATGCACGTGAATGATACTCCAGGCACCTGCACAACTGGAATGTGAAATGGAAACTGAGTCTGTCATTTCTTTTGGTGACAGTCATAGGTACTGCTCAGACCACCATGGTTTGTTGCCTGCATTCATAATTCAAGGAAATGGTCATTTTAATTAGAGGTTGGCAGAAAGAGGTGTGACTTTCCCATCCACGTTCACCATTGAGAAGCTCTGTCCTAAGTGTAGGCGTCCCTGGATGGTAACATGCTCAGCGGTTCACCGAAGGGCTGGAGGCTGAGGTCCACCCGGAGGCACCTGAAAGGAACGCCTGATGATCTGTTTCCAGAAAGTCAGCCACGGGAGCCCCTGGGGGCCCAGCTCCCCTCTGATGCCCACGGGGGTGCCGTGGTCAGAGCGAGCGCAGTGGCGACTGGCGGGGTGGCGGTGTCCTAGGGATAAGGGCCCCATGGGCATGCTGCGTGCTCTGTCCCCTTGTGGGGTCACAGTGCAGATTCGCACAGTAAAGGCTCATTTCCACCCCCAAGACCTCGTCGTCTACCTCAAGGTTGCTTAGCAACAGAACCTTCCCTGTTAACTTCAATATTTCAAAGAACTTGGAAAAACACATTCCTAAGGAAATCATCCACAAGAAAGCTTGATGTATAATAGCAAAAAAGAACCGGCAACAACCTGAAAGCCCATCACAAGTCACACGATGAGGTCAATGATAGCACATCCACTTAATGAAGCGTCATGTCGTCACTAAAGCCCTAATTATGAAGACTATACTACGGATAATAGTTGATATAATGTCAGGTTAAAAAGACAGGACACTGTAGTATGCTATCCTTACTACTTTTAACATTGGGTAGTACAGGGATTAGATGGAAGTGAATAAAAACAAAGCAGGTTGAGGATGGCAGAGCCTGGGGAAACTTTTCTCTACATACAATACGTAAAAGCCATTTTGAAGAAATAGGTTGACAGCAATAGTCTGCAAGGTTGTCCTCAAAAAGTTAGAGGAGGAAGACCTGAGATGCCCAGCACAGCCACCTTCCCTCCTCCTTGTAAGGCTCTCACCCATCACAGCCACCTTCCCTCCTTCCTGCAGGGCTCTCACGATCACAGCCACCTTCCCTCCTCCTTGTAAGGCTCTCACGATCACTGCCACCTTCCTTCCTTCCTGCAGGGCTCTCACGATCACAGCCACCTTCCCTCCTCCTTGTAAGGCTCTCACCCATCATAGCCACCTTTCCTCCTCCTTGTAAGGCTCTCACGATCACTGCCACCTTCCCTCCTTCCTGCAGGGCTCTCACCCATCACAGCCACCTT